AATAATTTGTAGCAAGGGGGATCACAGCTGAGAAGTCATCCTTTCGTTGGCCCTATAATAAGGCTAAGAGGCAATTATGAACACTTTGTCCTCAGCAAATGTTCCAGATATTTATGCGCATATACAAGGCACCTGCAATTCAGTGAGTTAACAAAAAGCAGGCTCCACCTCTCAAAAATATTCAGTTTAAGGTGTACACTGGAATGACCCATTACTAACATTAACCTTCCTGGCGGTATTCCTGAGTGTAGCTCGGGGTAAAGTTTCAGCACCACAAGCGGTAACCCCGAGCTACACTCAGGAATACACTGCAGCGCTGCTCCGGGATCTCTTCTTTACTTACCTTGTCCTGCGCTCCCCGCGATGTCCCTCCTGCAGTGTCCCCGGCCATGTCCTCCAGCCAATGCCAGAATCTGTCTTCTGGGTTCCATTCCCTGCGACGTCAGGACGTACGGGGGACGAAACCGGCGAGAAATTTAAAAGTGTCAAAAAGTGACATTCACTAAATACACTAAAATCACATAGTATAACATTCCTGTATCAAACCATTTCACATACATTTTGTCCCGAGTGCTTTTGTCCGGCGCCCTGCCTGCATTTTTACTGTTCTTTCTGCCTGGAAACTGAGAAACGTCCATGGGTCCAAAAAGCGTCCCTTTAGGTCAAAATCGGTTTTAGACCGGCTAGAGAACAGCGATAGGAAATCAGAACCACTTGCAGAATTGAGTGATAATGATTCGTGGGGGAAATTCCTCATCAGACAGTGAAAACAATTTTGCGACTGCTCAGCGATGTGTGAACTTGGCGCTCTATTTCAAATTTCAGTGTTTTGGTTTGATTATATTATTGAATTAAATTTATTATTATTATTTTTTATGATTATTTATTATATTATAATTTATGATTTCGTGTTTCAAAGTTTATCATACCCCGGGATGTTTACTAGACTCTTGTTCGGACAGATTTTAGTGAGTGATTCCTAAAAATTACAGGCATACAATAAAAAAAAAAAAAAAAAAAACATATTTCCATTGAAAACAATGTACCACTTTGAGCACAGAAATACTGACATAATCAAACCGCTAAAAAGTTAATTTGATGCTCGTCATTTAATGATTATGGAACACCAGTTACGAGCCTCTCCACCTCTGTGTTCAGGACTCCGCCTCTTGCCGTCTTTTATGCAAAGAAAAGGAGGTTGTGGATCATCACATTACTAGAGGCTGCAGTGTTCTCAGTCCCCCCCTTACATGAGAGTTTGCTGAATCCAATCGCAAGTGATACTGAATCCAGGTTCAAGTGATTTTAAATGATCTTGATAGGCTGACTGTTCACCTGTTCATCCTTTCAGTCTGATGATCCCGCAAACCTCTATTCCAGAGACATATTCCCAGATGCACCCACTGGAGGCTCCTTTCTGCCTCCCCATACAGTAAGAATTTATCAATGTGTCATTGCCAGCACAATTCAGTACTATCCTGGAAGTTTTCAGGCCTCGTTTACATGGGCCCCGTGTGATGGCCGTGTAAACCCACATAAGGATGCACAGTTGTTCCGTGCATCAACATGCCAATCCTATTCATGCCAATTGGGGTGTAGCAGCTGCAAGAACACAGTTGCTCCTCTTAATAGGACATGTGTGCAGGTACACAGCTTCAAATGCACCCTGGGTGTTCCATCCATCTCAGTGCGGGTAAAAATGTCCTTCACACAGGGGGCACAGATTCATACGCCCGTGTGAATGAGACCTTACTCCCACTGAAAATACAATTATTATTATTATTATACAGGATGTATATAGCGCCAACAGTTTGCTCAGCGCTTTACATAATGGAGGGAGACATTACAGTTACAATACAGTTCAATACAAGAGGGAGTAGAGGGCCCTGATCCCGGGAGCTTAAAATCTAGGAGAGAAACACAAAGTTTGACAGCATGGGCTTCAGGAGGCAGATCTCCCTGCAGAGTCTTTTTATCTTAACTTGACAAGTTTGCGTAAAGTGTTACTAAACCCCGCATTCACTATATGCGGTCTCCCCCGGACCCTGCATTCACCATATGCGGTCTCCCCCCCCCCCGGACCCTGCATTCACCATATGCGGTCTCCCCCCCGGACCCTGCATTCACCATATGCGGTCTCCCCCCCGGACCCTGCATTCACCATATGCGGTCTCCCCCCGGACCCTGCATTCACCATATCCGGTCTCCCCCAGACCCTGCATTCACTAACTGGTCTCCCCGAATCCTGCATTCACTAAATCTGGTCTCCCCGAATCCTGCATTCACTAAATCTGGTCTCCCCGAATCCTGCATTCACTAAATCTGGTCTCCCCGAATCCTGCATTCACTAAATCTGGTCTCCCCGAATCCTGCATTCACTAAATCTGGTCTCCCCGGACCCTGCATTCACTAAATCTGGTCTCCCCGAACCCTGCATTCACTATATCTGGTCTCCCTGATACCTGCATTCACTATATATCTGGTCTCCCCAGACCCTGCGTTCACTATATCTGGTCTCCCTGATACCTGCATTCACTATATCTGGTCTCCCCGGACCCTGCATTCACTATATCTGGTCTCCCCGGACCCTGCATTCACTATATCTGGTCTCCCCAGACCCTGCATTCACTATATCTGGTCTCCCTGATACCTGCGTTCACTATATCTGGTCTCCCCAGACCCTGCATTCACTATATCTGGTCTCCCCAGACCCTGCATTCACTATATCCGGTCTCCCACAGTACACAGAACATGGAAATGCAATTATTTTAGCAAATATAAACTGTTAAATACCTTTTCTCACCAGCAGTATATAGCAGTCTTGTGACTTCTATTGGTATCCAGCTGAGCACAGCTTTAAAACCTGTAGGAGGAGTTTTCATTCTCCTCTGACTGTCCTGCATAACCCTTGACAATCTGTCTAGACAGTGCTGATTGGCCCTTTGTTGATCACATGCTCCCTCCCAAAGATTAAAAAAAACCCCAAATGCTCTAGCAATACACACCAAACTGAGCATGTGCAGTGTGACTCCAAGAGCTCTGTGCTATCAGTAGATGGATTGGAAACAGCAGAATGGGAGTGTCAGAGAAGACAGGATCAAACAGCCTTTTCACACAATGCGGAGGATTAACCCCTTAGGTACCACAGTGAGTATAACATGCATTACTGCATATACAGACTGATTGTACTGTTGTGGGTTTAGTAACACTTTAGAACAAGAGGTGTAGGTGTTAAAAGTACTCATTAATATTTCCCATTTCAGACAAAGGGGTTGATTTACGAAAGGCAAATAGACTGAGCACTTTGCAAGAGCAGTTGCTTCAGCGCTTAGTAAATGTGGTGAAGCTCTGCTTACTTCCATCATCCAATCATGTGCAAGCAAAAATGCTGTTTTTTTTTTTTTCATTTTTTATTTTCCTTGCACATGATTGGGTATTCTTTGCAAAGGGAAGCTTTACCTCATTTACTAAGCTCTGAAGCAACTGAACTCAGCAAAGTGCACAGTCTATACACCTTTAGTAATTCTACCCCAAAGTGACTGGTTCTCTTGAAAGTCCTCCACCTTCTGACACAGCTATATTGATCTTTAAAGTTTTCCCAGGTGGTCTGAAGATTAGACCTGAACACCAAAGTGCAGCGAAAAATCAGGGGATAAGGTGGATAGCACTGGGTGGTCTTTATAGAGGACCCCAAATGTGCAAAGTGACAGATTCACTGTAGCCTCCCTAGCGGTCTGATTATGTCCATATTTCTGTGCTCAAAGTGGTACATTGTTTTGCATGGAAATATGTATTTTTTTTTTATTGTAGGCTGTAATTTTTAGGAATAACTCACTGAAATCTGTCTGAACAAGAGTCTAGTAAACATCCCGGGTATGATAAAATTTGAAACGTGAAATCATAAATTATAATTAAATAAATCCTAAAAAATAATAATATAATAATAATAAATTTAAATAATATAATCAAACCAAAAACACTGAAATTTGCAATATAGCGGCAAGTTCGCACATCGCTGAGCAAAGTTGCAGAATCGCTTTCAGTGTCTGATGATGAATTTCCCCCACGAATCATTATCACTCAATTCTGCAAGTGGTTCTGATTTACTATCGCTGTTCTCTAGCCGGTCTAAAATCGCTTTTGACCTAAAGGGACACTTTTTGGACGCCATGGACATATCTCAGTTTCCAGGCAGAGAGAACAGTAAAAATGCAGGCAGGGCGCCGGACAAAAGCACTCGGGACAAAATGTATGTGAAATGGTTTGATACAGGAATGTTTTACTATGTGATTTTAGTGAATGTCACTTTTACAACTTTCAAATTTCCCGCCAGTTCCGTCCCCCGTATGTCCCGACACTTGCAGGGAACGGAACCCAGTAGACAGATGCCGGCATCCGCCGGAGGACATTACAGGGGACACTGCAGGTGGGACATCGTGGGAGCGCAGGACAAGGTAAGTGCAGAAGAGATCCCGGAGCAACGCTGCAGAGTATTCCCGAGTGTAGTTCGGGGTTACCGCTTGTGGTGCTGAAACTTTACCCCGAGCTACACTCAGGAATACCGCCAGGGAGCTTAAAAAAATTCAAGGTCACAGCAAAAACACAGCTGTATAATTTACAGGCAGCTTTCTGAAATAATCGGTCTAGTCTATAAAGCAAAAAAAAAGTGAAAACTAAAAGCGGAAATGTCGAACAGTCAAGAGTTACAGTCAACGTGCATTGTTTTAGCTGCCAGGATATTTGTAATTAGAGCAGATATTGCCTCATGCAGCTGAAGGCGACACCGTCATTTTCTGCAGCACCTCCAGGCTCAGAGCACAATTAATCATTTGAATAACACTGGTGACTTATGGTCTCAAACAGACACTGGAAGCTGTAGAACTGAAACCAGAAATCGGGGTGTCACCGGCATGGCTATGCAATGTGCGGGAGTAGTCATGGACCAGCTCTGTATGTGTGAAAAGCGATGATAGCATTGCTAATATTAAAATTCACATTACCGACATGAGTTCGGTCGGCTGGCTGAGTTCGGGTTGGAGTTCTGCTTGCCTTGTAGTTTCTCCCCATTGTTTTCTCTTTCTTTATATCTTCAGGAAGACCAAAGTGTGCGCTCCTCCGTCTTCCTCTAAAGCAGTGTTTCTAAAGAGAACGAAATCACAATCAAACATAAAACACTCAAAAGTGATATAAAAAGTTTCAGTTTTATTAAAATAACAAACATGTCATACTTATCTACACCCTGTTCCAAATTATTATGCAAATGATATTTTTCTCATTTACCTAAATAATTGATGTAAATAACAGTTAGCATAATTCTCATGTTATCAACTATTAAGAGTACAATTCATATTTTATTGAACAAACCTCCTGATAACAGGATTTTTGTTAAACATAAAACACTTCCAATGCACTGTTCCAAATTATTCCGCACAGTAAGTTTCAAAACACTTTATAGGTTGTAAAGAACTGAAAATTGTCATTTGTTGTGTTTGCAGCATATTTACTGAAATCAAAAGCTATTTCAATCAAACTTTTAACAACATTTTAACTTTTTAAACATTTTAACAGGTCACGTTACATTGTAATATAGGACCCCTTATTTGATAGCAGCTTCACAAGTCTTGCATCCTCTGAACTTGTGAGTTTTGGACAGTTTCTGCTTGAATTTGTTTGCAAGATGTCAGAATAGCCTCCCAGAGCTGCTGTTTGGATGTAAACTTCCTCCCACCCTCATAGATCTTTTGCTTGAGGATGCTCCAAAGGTTCTCAATAGGATTGAGGTCAGGGGAGGATGGAGGCCACACCATGACTTTCTCTCCTTTTATCCCTATAGCAGCCATTGATGCAGAGGTATTCTTTGCAGCATGAGATGGTGCATTGTCATGCATGAAGATGATTTTTATTACGGAAAGCATAGTTCTTCCTTCTGTACCAGGGAAGAAAGTGGTCAGTCATAAACTCCACATACTTTGCAGAGGTCATCTTTACACCTTCGGGGACCCTAAAGGGGCTGACCAGCTCTGTTCCCATGATTCCAGCCCAAAACATGACTCCACCACCGCCTTGCTGACGTCGCAGCCTTGTTGGAACAGGGTGACCGTCCACCAACCATCCACTACTCCATCCATCTGGACCATCCAGGGTTGCACGGCCCTCATCAGTGAACAGGACTGTTTGAAAATTAGTCTTCATGTGTTTTTCTGCCCAGTGCAGCCGTTTCTGCTTGTGAGCATTGGTTAGTGGTGGCAGAATAGAAGGTTTATGCACAGTTGCAAGACTCTGGAGGACTCTACTCCTTGATGTCCATGGGACTCCAGAAGCACCAGCAGCTTCAAATATCTGTTTGCTGCTATGTAATGGTATTTTAGCAGCTGCTCTCTTGATCCGATGCATGGATCTGGCAGAAATCTTCCTCAATGTGCCTTTATCTGCATGAACCCGTCTGTGCTCGGAATCAGCCACAAATCTCTTAATAGTGCGAATGATCACGCTTAAGTTTTCGTGAAATATAGAATGTTTTCATACCTCGTCCAAGGCATTGAACTATTTCACTCTTTTCGGCAACAGAGAGATCCTTTTTCTTCCCCATATTGCTTGAAAATGGTGCTCTGCTTAATAATGTGGAACACCCTCCTTTAGTAGTTTTTCCCTTAAATTGGGCTCACTGGCCAATCTAATTATCACAGGTGTCCGAGATTGTTTTTAGTGATCAAAAGAGCCCTGACACACAATGCCATCCATGAGTTAAACTGAAAAACAAAATATTTAATCTTTGTGACACTTAAATAGAATTTGCATAATAATTTGGAACACGGTGTATTCTGTGTAATAGTTTTGCACAGAGAAGCCCCAATCCTTCTCTTGAGACCCCCCAGTGCTCCTGGCTCCTCCACCCTGAGTGTCCTCATACAATGGAGGCACTGGTGCGTGCTCACTTCTGAGCCACCCTGCCTGCATCTACTGAGTGCGGCTCCGGCCCTTCCCTTGCTCCTCATAGGATTTGATTGACAGGTGCGGAAGCCAATGGCTTCCCACTGTTATCAATCTGCCCAGTGGAGAGGAAAAGAGAGAGGAGAGCCACAGCTCTTGTGCTGGATTGAGAACGGGCTCAGGCAAGTATAAGAAGGGGGGGAGGGGGGATCCTCTGTTACAGAAGGTTTTTACCTTAATACATAGAATGCAATAAGGTAAAAAAAAAGTATGGCTTTAGAACCACTTCACTGCTCGTGGTTTTAAATTGTATGTCCAATAAGCTCATATAGGTGTGAATGTCATTAATCCACAACCTCTGGTCATAAAGCACACATAAGCAGATATTTCCAGTGAAAACCACAAGCAATCAGATCCATAGATAGGCAGCTGAAGTTCTATGCAAATCTTGACCTGGGTCTATGGCAATCCTTATCACTGTCTATCAAAGGGATGGAGGTGAGGGCTGGGGGTTCATATGTTAACAGAGGTTTTGAGCGTAATTGGTGGCTGTGATGAACTACTTCGTATTGACAATTTAAGGTCTCGTCCTCAAGGGTGTAATAAATAGGCATTTGCTTCACATTAATAAAGCTTTCCAAATACTTTGCAAAGCAAATGCCAGTTTTTTATTATGGTCCCATTCACACATGCCTGCGCAGTAAAATAATCTGCTAAAATAGTAGCATGCAGGCTGTTGTCTGTTCTATGCCAGCAGTGGGGAGGCTATGGTCCTCTGCACCACCATGTGCCCTACAGAGTCAGAGCTAGAGTTCCCCAATCAGCAGGGAGTATGAGTTTGTTGTTGGCAGAGCACTAGGTCTAACTCAGTAAAGCCGACCACAGCTGGAACAAATCTCGGCTGGTTCAGCAGAGCCTGGCTGAGATTCGATCCATCTATGGGCAGGCTAGTTGTACTGAAGTTGATCCACTACTTTCGATCACTACTCGCAGCTATAGATGCTAGCAGTGATCATTGTGTTCAGCTGGCAGGGAAGGCTCCCCACCGGTAGAACACAATAGCGCTGAGGGATGACTCTAAAGCTTTATTTATATATAAACCTGTCATACTTACTGATCATCATCTTTTTGGGTCCCCAGCGGCGCTCCTCACGCTTAAGCAGTGCCCCCAGGGAGAACCGCTCACCCAGGGGGCAGCGCTGCGTGCTCGTCACCGAGCCACTGCTCTATGCGTCCATAAGACACAAGGCCACAGCTCCCACCCACTCCCTCCTCATTGGCTCACTGGCAGTGATTGACAGCAGCCCATTGGCTGCCTTCAGCCAATGAGGAGGAAGAGTCCCCAGAGAGCAGAGGTTATCGAGAAAGTCACTGGAGTGGAGGGGGTTCTGGTAAGGATTGGGGAGGGGGGGAGGGGTGCTGGAGGGGGGGGCTGGGACCACCGCACACAGAAGATTTTTTTTCATAGAATACATGAAGGTAAAAAACTTGAGCCTTTAGAAACACTTTAAGAGGTGTGTTGGACTTCCTACTCTGCAGCTACTTTCCCTTGTGAAAAAGTCAGAAGTGACGAAACGCGTCTGATTTGTGACGTCAGACGCAAAACCGGAAGGAGCAGCGCGGCCATTTTTGGATATGGTCTCAGCATAGGATGGACTCAGCATAGGTTTTCTGAAATGTAAGCGGATAATAAATTTGTGTTTTATACATATTACTCCACTGAGTTTGCTCTTCTCTGCTGTGAGGAACGGTGATCCCACTGCCCTTGTTTATGAGGAACGGTGATCCCATGCCCACGGTGATCCCACTGCCATTGCTTTATGAGGAACGGTGATCCCACTGCCCATTGCTTTATGAGGAACGGTGTGATCCCACTGCCCATTGCTTTATGAGGAACGGTGATACGGTGATCCCACTGCCCATTGCTTTATGAGGAACGGGGATCCCACTGCCCATTGCTTTATGCGGGGATCCCACTGCCCATTGCTTTATGAGGAACGGGGATTACACTGCATACTCCCATAAGAGGAAAGCCATCTGCATACTCCCATGAGAGGGAAGCCATGTGGCATATGGGGATTTGTGAAACGCCTGTGCAAGCTGAAAGAGGGTAATAGCATGTTTCCTAATGCAGAGTGGTGGCACTTATCTGGTCTTGCACATTTTTCACTGATCACAAACTTTGTATTTGCTGTATTTCACTTATTGGAGTGATTATTTCACAAGATCACTAGTGGAGTTGTGTGGATTTCCACTTCACGTGTTGATTTTTACTGTTTATATTATGTTTTACATCACTAGTGCTTATGCATGATATCACATAATATTATAGTGTGAAAGATAATGCACTATATTTAGTTTATTTCTTTGAGGTATTTTGGATTGGAGTGAAGAATCGGATATTTTTTCACAGTTGGAAGATTGGAGAGTGTGGACTATTTTTGATTTTGGACTTTATTATGGACATTTTGATATTATTGAGAATGAGGGGTAGGATTTGAGTTTAGGGGAAGGTTATAGAAAAGGTTTATGATATTTGCACTTTCAAGGGTAAAAGATTTACTTTTCTTTGGGGATTTACAGAGATTTTGATTTGATTACTGGCAGAGGACAGGCTTTTCTACTCAAGATGTAACTGCTTTAAATTGCAAAGCTTTGTACACTTTTTTGATGTGCATGGAATGCATTAAGCAAATTTAAGCTGAAGGTTCATTTGGGCTATAAAGAAGCTATAAGGGAAGGGTAAAAAATGGACATACCTGAAGATGAAGTAGGCAAACCCTTACAGAATGAATAATCCCGATCATTACCATGCTGGAGAATACATCCCTGTCTCTACACGTAACCTCCCCCTGGATAGAACAGATGAGAATGCTGTGCACAGGACAGCTGGTCGTGTGGAGTCAGTCCTATAGATTCCCAGATAAAACCAATTCATTTCACTTAAAAACTGAAATGAGGTTTAATTAATTCACTATATGTTCAGCAATGCTGTGCTCTGCTGGTTCTGTTTTATTGTTATTGATTTTATACAAGAAACGGAGCAAAACCATTCGAGTCGCCTCCATAAACATGGAGAATAGATTAATGGATTCGTTATGGAATAAGAGTCCAGTCAGCACAAGTCCATAATTAAAGGAACTCAACATATGTATTGCTTTCTAGAAGAAAACCAAGATTAGCGTTCAAGTGCATGTGTTCAATAAACT